CTTAAAATTAGAGTATTATAAATTTATCAACATTCGCTGCTTTATTATTCAATAAAGGAAGGATATTATCTTAAATATAATATTGATAGAGACTCTTTAATTGGAATCAAGACACGAAAGACGCAGCCACTTTTGATTGGTTCGTCATATTTTAATAACTTCTAAGAGAGAAAGAAAGAAACAAGAAAAAGATAGAACAAACAGAAAAACAAATAATAAATGTATGTCTTCTCTCTCAGGATTTTATTAAAACTAGAGATCCTACATACAAAATGCGGTTCGTGCCCAGTCTCTAGGGGATCGATTCTGTATCTTGAAACAAGGGGCAAATTATAAAAATCGGTAAATTTACTAGATGTCTGCAATGAAGTTAAATAAATATTCTAATAAATTCGCTCAATTTCGTAATTTTTACCTCGTTTCAAGATATGGAATCAACTCCTGATTAAAGGATCTCTAGATGTTGACATGTAAAAAAAAGACTGTTATTTAATTCATTTAAAGTAATGTATATGATATGCATAAGTCTTTCGATGTTATCAAAAATGATTTGCACTTATCTTTTTAGCATGACGTATATCATACCGATAATACTATTTAATCAGAGATAACGCGCTCTAGCATTAGCAAACGAGCACGTTATCGAGGCGCGTCTTCTCTCTATAATTTTTTTTTATAAGACTGACAGTTACTTCCACGTCTCTCGAGTATCACATGAGCGCGGTTCTATTTAAATTGCAGACTCTATGCCTTTTCCTAAATCAGTCACTTTATCTATTTGGCTTTGCTCAGCTTTGCTCGCACCGATAATGTCGATGACATCATTAATTTGTACATGTTGATCTAACCTATCATGGAATCAGTTTCTATGATATTATGACTGGAATGCCATTTGCTTTAGAAAATACAATATAAATGTAGGGAATAGTTGAATAATTCCGATTGGAATCCATTTCGATTTGTTCCATGATAGGTGCCCTTGCGATTTCTTCCTGGTGAATGAGTTAATTTTCAGGATAAGCAATTGTCTTCGATGAAGTTCTGTTACCGATTCGCGCAATTTTGAGAAATCATGTTTTATACGGAAAATAAACTGTTTTTACGAATTCTGCATGTCATCGCTTATCTATCGCATTACCGGTTAAGCGGAACGGCAAGTACGTTTTGTAAACATCGCAAGATATTTAACAATCCTAGACACTTCGGGATAATAATAATGTCAGTAATTCGGCAACAGGTTGAGGAAATCATTCGTAATCCGAGCAAATCTGTATATATTATTTATAATCGTGCACTTAACAGATGGAAGAATCTTCATAGAAGGTAAAGAATCTTTATGTCAAAATCTCGAAAAAATTTCTTCGCTATTTCTAGTTCTGAATTATTTTAAAAGTCACTTAAAAGGATTCCATATTGCAAGACTACAACTTAGAATATACAATATAATTGCATAAATTCGCAATTTATTTAATTTTAACTTATACAAGACCTATTTGCATTTAGGATCGTCCACGATGTCTCGAATTGCTATTAAGTGTGTGTGTGTGTGTATGTTTTTGTTAACTAATTAAAAATTACTTATCAACTCTTTCCGGTTCAAACTTTCTCACATATTGAACGAAGCTCAAGTATTTTGTTCTTAATGTTATTCAATCGATTAGTCTAACATAAATCAAATTTGTATTCCAGGAATATATAAAGATTCTAAAAATATATAATTCGTTGATTATAATTACAGAATGGAATTGCATTCGAGTACTTGAAGGTACGATAAATTACTGCAGTACTTTACATCGAATCCAATCCTCGATATAGGACCGCAAAGAATTGAGAAGAAATTGTTTCGCAGACGGGCACGAGGATATAATTTCACGGAACACACAATTAAGTGACGGCTTTCGCATACTCACAAATGAGGGGATGGGCAGAATAAAGGCCTAATTACAAAATCTTGATATCAATAAAAATTAAAGTAACTTGCTACTTTTTTTATTATACATAAATGGATACGATATCAAATGAATTTATGTAATGTCTTTAAGAAGTTACATGTTATAAATCTTTTCTATCACGATCAATATTACATGAAAAAGCTAATTACCGGAAAAAGGGCCTAAGTATAATTGTATCTTTATTCCATTCATCCCCTCAATTACACTTCAATCATGCGTTCAGGCGTGCGTAGGTGTGTCCAGAATCCTTACCTTCCAGTTTCTCGGCGACCAATTATCCGTCATGCTACAGATACACGATAGCCCACGCGATACAGCGCGATGTACGGTGCGAAGCACTGCCGCGACAATGCCGCGACAATGCCGAGTGTCTCGCGCGCGTGTGAGTTGTTTTTCGCCGGATGAGTCGCGTAGCCGGGTATGTATGTATTTTACCCGCGAGCTTGCGTGCTGACGAGGAATCGGCTGCGCGTATGTCCGTTTGAAGTATGTACAATATAGTATTGTGTTGAACATAAACACGGGAGACAGTGACACGGAGAGGGGCTCCAATTTAAAAACACCGATTGTCATTTTTACGAAACACAAAGACTATCATATATCGCTAGATCATTCTGTTTGTTAATGTTATCATATTAACTCGTAGTTTGCAACGATCGCATATGTAATAATTTAGCGTCGTGATCTGCACGATTGTCATGTAATTAAAGTTTATGACGAACGGGCCATTATTTTTATCAAATTGCGAAATTAAAACTCATCTGTTTTTAACTAAGAAGAAGCGCCAACTGCGGCTTTATGTAATAAAATAATAATTCTCTATATATGTATAATTTATTTTAAATACATTTTCTTCAGATATATAATTGCATGTCGATTATTTTCGGACTTGCAATCAACATGAACTGTTGCATATATCTGAAAAAAAGAATATGTATTTAAGATAAGTTATATGTATAGAGAGAATTATTATTCCAATATCTAAGTTTGATCGTAGTTGGAACTTCTTTCTTAGTTGATTTACATTCATATAGCGATTTTGTTTCTAACTTATATCATCTATTTTACTTATATTTAGAGATATATATTAA